GTCTGGTGAGCGAGTCCATGTCCCCGGGGTCGTCCGTCTCGTCGGGCGTGTGGTCGTGGGTCGATGGCTCCTCGTCGTCCTCGTCCTCGTCGTCGTCGTCGTCGTCCCGCTCGCCCGCCCACCGCTCCGCCACGCCCTCGCCGCCCCTGTCCGAATCCTCGCCGCCCGCCACCGACGACGGCCTCGAGCTCGACGATTCCCTCTTCGACGACGCTGTCCCCAGGAAGCGCAGGGTCAGTAGGACTTCGCTTTTTCGTATTTTCGTTTAGTTTTTTTCCGTTTTTTTCCCGGTGGTTGTGTTGGATGTGCCGCCTTTTTCTTCTTCTTCTTTTATCTATTTTATTATTAAAAAAGAAAAAGTTGGAAATGCCGTTTTTTCGATGACTTTGCTTGAAGTGGCGCCGCCATTGTGATCTTTCGTTATTCTTTTGTCTTTTGTCGTGCCGTTGTTTCTTTGTTTTTTGTTTACGTGTTTATGGATTTGCTCGGTGGTTTGTTTATATGTCTTCTATTTATTTATTTGTAGCGCCATTCATTCATTCCTTTTATTTACTTGTTTTTTTATTATGTTTTTTTTTCTGAGTATGAAAGGTGTGGGAGAGACGTCGACCGGAGGCGTCCGTTTCGCGACCAGAGAGCGCCAGGAGGGGGCGAGGGGGGGGGGCGCACCTGGCCAAGTCAGCGGCTGAGGCGGCCATCCTCAGCTGCGTTGACAAGCGTCGATTAATCGTTGATTGCGATTAACCTTTGACGCGAGGCCAGCATGCATGTAGTCGAGCAAGCAAGCGAGCAGGCAAGCAGGCAGGGGTGCCTGGCGCTTCGAGGTGGTCGCAGGACGCTGCCTTTGGGACGCGTGGTCGGAGCCGCGATGGGGTGCGTGATGAGTTTACCTTCTGATTCGCGTTTGGTGTCCCGCGCTGGAATCCCCCCCCCCCTCTTCCCCTCTGCTCTTATTACCCCCTTCCCCTCTCCTCCTCTTTTCTCTTCATCTCCCCTCCCTCACTTACTCGCTCCTCTCTCCCTCCTCCTCCCTTCCCCCTCACACCCCTCTCTTCCATTCGTCTCCCTTCCCCTCCCTTCCACACTCTCCCTTCCCCTCCTCCTCTCCCCCCCCCCCCCCCCACATCCCTCTGTGAGCAGCTTGGAGACAGTGAGTCGAGATAAATAGAAAAAAATGTTGACTGAATATCTCCGAGGTGACACGGGCCGCAGCGCAAGGGGGGGGGGGGATTGCTTGTTGAAGCCGTCGTTAATTGGGGCTAATTGCAAGGAAAGGTCATTTCAAGCTCCGTCTCGTCGTGACATCCAGTGCGACATCGCAACGTATTGAGATGTAACGGCATTTATCAGGGAATGAAAATGACAGTAATCGCGGCGGCGCGAACAGCTGCGGCCATTAAGCCGATTTGCTCAACGCGAACGAGTCGCGATGGAAGTTGAGACCGCGAGCGCGGACTCGCGCCGGCGCCGCCTCCGTCAGCAGAGAGGAATTCGGAGTCACAAGTCCTTGCGGCGGTCTTCTCGGTGTTGCGGGCCGCGGCTGCGGTCAGGGTGCCCGGCTGCCCGCGCCGGCCGGGTGTCAGAATCAGCTGTTGTGCTGGCTCCGTGCCAGCGGTGTTGCCATACAAGGAGCACCTGATTACGAGCCCAGCGTGAGGCCGTGTGATAAGTACACATTAACTTATCGGCGGATGGGCGAACGTCGGAGCGAGGCTGCTGGAGTTAATGGCGCTAATAATGGTAATTGCCAGTCATTTGCGAGAGTGATAGCTACGCTGAGGCTTCGTCGATGGTGATTTTATCGTGCAGAGACGGCTGGAATGCGCGAGTTGGCCGCAGCGCCGCCCACGGGCTTCTCGAGACGCCGAGGACAGCGGGGGAAACAGCACCGGGGAAAGAGCTCGCAGATGAACTCAGAGCAGGAAATCCTGTAGCAAACAAGCAGCGAGCAAAAAAGACGAAAGCAAACGAAGTGGGCGAAGTGGCAGTTGGGGCCACAGCATCACCGCCGCTGCCGTCGCTATGCTTGGGCGGCCGGCGACAGACACTACTGCGTCGCCCACTCCATCATTTCATTAATGAATAGCTTTCCGTCTTTCAAATTAATGCGATTCTCCTTATCGTTGCGATTGGATAGAGAATGGTGCCGTCTTATAAGGCATACAAGGAAATGAAATGAAGCTCGCGGAGGTACATCTCTCGAAGGCGTGTTTGGTACGTCACGGGCCAAGGGGCGCCTTTAAATCCGTCGAAGTTCGGACAGATTGGGTGGTGCCCCGACGTCCTCCGCTGGCCCTCCGCGGGACTGGCTAATCACTATTCAAGGCATTTTTTCTAATGAATTCAAAGCATAGAAATCCCCGGAGCGTGTGTTTTCTAATCGGCTGCGCTAAGTTTGGCCTTGCAATGTGCAACTTTGTGCATAGATGTCGGTATCATGTTCACCGCGTTGCACACACCAGATGTACTTTCGGGAATTCTAGCCACGCAGCTGCCCGGGTGCATGCTGTGGCCGGCCAGATTTAGCTGATAGATATGCGACTGGCTTAACGAAAGCACATTTTTGTTGATGTTGTTGTTAGGCAAATTACTCGCCACCTCCAGGACTCGAAGGTCACTGTTTAGTTAGCTTGTGATGTGTCAGAATGAAGGGTGCCCCCCCCCCCCCACCTCCGTTCATTTTCCCTCTTCTCCCTCTCGTGTTCTTCCTTTCCCTTCCCCATCCATCTCATTATCCTCCCCTTTCTCTTTCCCGATCTATCCGTCTTTCCCCTCTCCCTCCTCTCCCCCCATTTCCATCCCAACCCTTTCCCTTCACGCCCCCCCCCCCTCCGTCGTCATCTGTTCGTCCTCGACTATTACTTGACCGATTAGCGAATCTCGTGCATTCGAGCCGACCCTACACGACCGGCCCCGACCCGACCCGAACCGACTATTTAAATATTCGTGGTCGGTAACGTAGTTGGTCGCTTGTCTGCTGTTGTTGCTGCTTTCCTTGTCAGCTACTGTTGTTGTTGTTGTTGTTGGTGCTGGTGTTGTTGGTCACTGTGTATTCACGGCCTTCCAAGGTTAGCGGGGACGATCGGCGTTATCTGGCCTTGAGGAATCCGCTCGCTGATAGGGGCGACCGTTCGCTCGGGTCTCTCTCTCTCTCTCTCTCTCTCTCTCTCTCTCTCTCTCTCTCTCTCTCTCTCTCTCTCTCTCTCTCTCTCTCTCTCTCTCTCTATTCTATTTCTATTTCTATCTCTCTCTTCCTCCCTCCCTCCCTTCCTCTCTCTCTTTTTCACCCCCCTCTCCCTCTCCCTCCCTCTCTCTCTTTTTCTATTTCTATTTCTATTTCTATTTCTATTTCTATTTCTATTTCTATTTCTATTTCTATTTCTATTTCTATTTCTATTTCTATTTCTATTTCTATTTCTATTTCTATTTCTATTTCTATTTCTATTTCTATTTCTATTTCTATTTCTATTTCTATTTCTATTTCTATTTCTATTTCTATTTCTATTTCTATTTCTATTTCTATTTCTATTTCTATTTCTATTTCTATTTCTATTTCTATTTCTATTTCTATTTCTATTTCTATTTCTATTTCTATTTCTATTTCTATTTCTATTTCTATTTCTATTTCTATTTCTATTTCTATTTCTATTTCTATTTCTATTTCTATTTCTATTTCTATTTCTATTTCTATTTCTATTTCTATTTCTATTTCTATTTCTATTTCTATTTCTATTTCTATTTCTATTTCTATTTCTATTTCTATTTCTATTTCTATTTCTATTTCTATTTCTATTTCTATTTCTATTTCTATTTCTATTCCTTCTCCCCCTCTCCATCTCCCTGCCCCCCTCCCCCTCCCCCTCCCCCTCCTTCCCCCTCCTCCCCTCTTTTTCTTATGTTTATCTCCGAACAGACGGGAGTCGCGACGCGCGGCTCCCTGGCTTTAACATTACTTCCTGATAGATAAGGAAAAACCGATAAGAAACCAAAGAAGATTCTTTAAAGATAGGAAGATGGGCGAAAGAAGAGAATGGAAAAAAAAACTAAGAAAGAGATTAGGGAGAAAGAGGACTCTTGTTTCGATAAGGACTTTATGATGTAAATAGAAAATAGAAATAGAAAATTATGTATACGTGACATAGGTCAGATATGTTTGTGTGTGGGGGGTGGGGGAGTAGACAGGCATACATACAAACAGACAAGATGGAAAATAAAATAAGGAAAAGGTAGAGTAATCGTAGTAGTAGTAGTAGTAGAAGAAGAAGAAGAAGAAGAAGAAGAAGAAGAAGAAGAAGAAGAAGAAGAAGAAGAAGAAGAAGAAGAAGGACTACCACAAGTCAAGAAAATGTGTCAAGTGAAGGTGGTAGGGGAGGGGGAGGGGGAGAGGGAGAGGGAGAGGAAGTAGAGAGGAAAGGGAGGGGAGGGGAAGGGAAGGAGAAGATAAAGAGGAAGAGGGGGAGGGGAGGTGGAGGGGAAGGAGAAGGAGAGGATGGGGAGGGGAGGGGAGGGCAGGGGGAGGGCAGGGGAGGAATGTGTACCACAGCCGTGACGCGAAAGGTAGAAAGTAAACGGGGGAGAAGACGACCTGCTGTTGTTGCGGGGAGGAGAAAGTGTCACTCTGCATTTGGGGCTGATCGCGTGCGTGCGTGTGTGTGTATGTGTGTGTGTGTGTATGTATGTATGTGTGTGTGTGTGTGTGTGTGTGTGTGTTGTGTGTGTGTGTGTGTGTTGTGTGTGTGTGTGCGCATGTGCGTGCGTGTGCTGGTAAACGTACAGTATGTGTGTCAGTGGCCCATGCGTGAAGGCCCCCCTCGCCCCCCGCCTCCTGCGCGAGGGCGTCCCGAGCGGCCCCTCTGCGCGCCCGCCGTGAAAGTGGCGCTGGCCGAGGGAGTGACAGGCAGCGCAAGTGAGGCGCGATGACATTGCACAGCTTATCAAGTCGCTGAGGATGTCTTGCGTTTTCTTGAACTCATAATTAATTGCTTACACTTCTACTTCTCCTTCATCTACTTCACTGTACTGGATGAATAAGTATAGATAGATTAGGTCTGTATCACTACTGCCTATCATGCGTGTGAATGTAAATGAAATTTTGATAGTCTCTAGACCACCCCCCTCCCTCCCTCCCGTGTGTGTCTCCCCCCCCCCCCCTTACACTTGAGAACCCGTGAGTGTGCCAGTGTAATGAAAGGGGCCACAGGGTTCAGTAGGCCTAGGCAGTCGAGAGGCACTC